GATACTTGGTGGCAATTCACCTCAAACATTTGGCCTTAACATTCGAATTGGAGCGAATCTACCGGACTTCCGGTAACCCAACATTAATGTAAAAAAAACACATCCCTCATTATTAATTGGTTCGATGGGGATCACTTTGAGCAGGACCGAGGAATTGGTCACATTCACCAAATTACACTGATAGGCAAAATAAAGTGCCCACCCCATCATTTTTTGAATTTCTCTCATTTATTTGGTTCAAATTAAAGTAAATACACTGTAGTATTTTTTATATCTTATTCTTTATATTCTTTTTAAGTTTCACTTATAGAATACCAGATAAAAAGAAGAGACTGACTCGAAGAAAAAAAAATCAAAATGGGTGTAAAAAAGAACAGTGACAAAAAAAAGTGCCCACTGCATTTTAACTCCAGAAAACATAAAATAAAGTAAAAGAATACCAGCCTAATAGTTAATGTGTCCTCCTTTGGCCTTCAGGACCAGCTGCAGGCGCTTCGGCATGCTCTCCACTAGATTCTTCAGGTGCTGTGGATCTAGTTCTTCCCAGGCGCGCTCCAGGGCTTCAAAATAGTTATTTTTATTGGTAACACCAGTTTTGTCAACCCTGGCATCGAGAATCGCCCACAAATTCTCGATGGGGTTGAGGTCCGGGCTTTGTGGAGGCCATTCCAGTGGTTTAATTCGACATGACCGGAAGAAAGACTTAGTCTTCTTGGCAGTATGCTTCGGATCGTTGTCCTGCTGGAATACGAATTTCTCCTCAAGGCCCGTCTGGATCAGCGAAACTTCCAGATTTTCCCGCAGGATGTCGATGTAGGAATCTGCCGTCATTATCCCGTCGATTTTCACCAGGCTTCCCACTCCACCCCACGAAAAGCACCCCCAGACCATCACATTTCCTCCTCCATGCTTCACCGTGCCTTGTATGTGGCGCTCCTGAAGCTCCTCACCCGATCTACACCACACACGAACCCGTCGCTTCCGGTTGAACAGTTCGAATTTTGATTCGTCCGTCCAGAGAACCGTTTTCCAGAACTCTAGGGGCTTATCAGCATGCTCCTTAGCAAACTTAAGCCGTTTGACTTTGTTTGCCTTGCTGATAAATGGGCGCTTCCGAGCAACTTTGCTGTTCAACCCCTGTGCTACGAGACGGCGACGAACAGTTCGACTGGAAACTGTTAGCTGAAGAGCCTCCTGGATCTCGCGGACAGTTACCTTCGGGTTCTTCTTCACTTCACGCATGATCTTGGTGTCCGTTCTCGCATCCGTTTTGCGCATCCTGCCTCTGCCAGGGCGATCCACCACTGATCCGAACGATTTCATTTTCTGCAGAATTTTCCCGACCGCTGTTTTGCTGATATTGTACTTCCTAGCGACAGACCGGTGCGATTCACCGTTTTGCACATCACGAACAACCAATTTTCGGATACACACGGGAATTGCTTTCGAAATCACTACGTCCTCCATTTTTTTCAACTGATTCAAATGCGATCACGTGTACAAATGCACCAGTTCCACCCGTTTGCTTCAATACATGTCAAACTTTCAAAACAAAAACAATCGAGGGGTTTTCCGATGGAAACTTATCGAAAACATACCGATTTTTGAAGTGGGCACTTTTTTTTGTCACTGTTTTCTTTTTCAATCCAAATTGATTTTCTTTTACTTCAAGTAAAACTTTATATTTTCAGTATTCCATAGGTGTAACTTTAAAAGAATAATAAAGGTAAGACATCGAAACAGACTACGGTGTGTTTATTTGAATTTGAACCAAATAAATGAGAGAAATTTCAAAAATGATGGGGTGGGCACTTTATTTTGCCTATCAGTGTACTTGTGTTTCGAGTTGGTCAAGAGACAGCCCTATTGGGTTGTACGCAATAGTGACGTAGGACTACGTGGTCTTATTTGTTAACTGCAGCAGGAGCTTGTGTTTTGTGTAGGAATAGGAACTTAAGCAGGGTTCTCTCTGTTCATACTCTATAGTATGACGCGCTTGACATAGATGACCCACAGCGACTCACGAAGAACTACTGATTCCGATCAATAGCGGTGCGGTTTCTTCCTCCTTCTATGGATGCTCATGTGGGCTGCAGCTCGCTGCTTGCAGGCAGCCTTTCGTTGTGTACTGGAGAACAATATTAAACGCTCCGCGCTGCAAGCACTGCTGATGCCGACGACCAGACACCACCTATACACGGTGATTGAACTGAATCCGATCAGCGGTTGATAGCTAGATGCTTGCGGGGAGCCTTTCGTTGTGTACTGCAGAACATCACCACTCACCACGCGGTGAGACCGGATGGAATTCAACTTTGAAATCTGTGTTAGGGAAAGCTCTTTTCGCAGGCAATCGGTGATAATTTTAACTATTATAGCAACAGTTGCACATTCGTGCAGTTTTCAATAGTAACATTTTGAAAAATGATAAAGTCTTAAATTAAACAGATGCGTAGGAATATTTCTGATCGATTAGTGATAAAATTATTGAAATTTGTCCAGGGGGCAGTTGAGTTATTAAAGTTCAAAATCTTTCATAATTTCGTTACATGTTCCATTTTCGGTTTTCACAAAGTGTACCCCCTTTTTGAAATCACAGACGTAGTCCTACGTCAAAAAATCTGGTTTAAGAGGAATTCTGAAATGTTTCAAAAATCTAGGTGTCCAAATATTGGTGTCCAATTTATGCCAAAATGAAGATTTTTCGAGGCAAATTTTTGCAGTTTGGAAAATCTTAAAAATGTTTTTTTTTGTCATTGAAAAACAGACAAAAATTTGTGATATTTGTGATATTTTTCAGCGTGTATTTTTTTCTGCAATTGCAATCCTGTTTCCTACAACTTTGTCGATTAGATGAGTCTTTATCGTGCTATGATTTATTTAAAAAATACCAAACACGCCAAATTAGGTGAGAGGCAAAATGGCCGAATTCCAGCACAAACTTGGTTCATTGTGCCTAGAGAACAATTCCACGTCAAATGACGAATCGTTCCGACTCGACCTTATTCGGTATGCATGCAACTTTCAGGGTTACCAGTGAACCGGGAAATCTGGTCAATCGGGAAAAAGCTGGGAAAAATCCTGTGAAATTCTATGACAAATCGGGAAAACATACTTAATATTTAAATGCATAGGACTAGCTCGGTAATCTCTGGGTCATTACTGTCATGGTAAATTTAGAGCTGGCTTCTTACTTATTTTTAATTTGTTTGCCACCGCCCAATTCAAATTTATGCGCTCCTTTCAAAGGGGAAATTGACCTACACACTTTGAAATAACTTATTTTACACGTGACGGAATCCATCTTTGACATAAAGGGTCAGACGTAAACAAATGTTTCATGTAAAATTAAGTGCTCCGAGACTGAAAAGTTCGTTACTTAACGAAAAGTGCGTTTGACTGAGTTGAATTTCGCGTTTGTTATGACTCAATTTTATGTCAAAACTGACGCTCGTATATGTCAGTCTCAGAGCACTTGAATTTACATGATTTTTTTCTAAGTGTGTAGTGAGTAAATAACATTGCCAAAAATGGTAATCTCTGAGACATCCCTTCACTCAACAACGGATGAGTTTGGTAAAGGGAATGCTCAATGTGCTTTACGATCTGAAACTTAATCTAGCCCTGATGATGATTCTTACCCAGAGATCGAAACGTTGGTGATGATGAAACTGTAATCAGCACTTTACCCAGTCAAATGACTAATTATTCAAGGTTTTTAAACTTCCTCGAAAGGCTATACTTTTCTGATGTGAAGCTTCACTGAAGTTGTTGAAACTGCCCTAAAGATCTCTGAACTTCAGTAAAGTTCTCTAGACTTTTAAAAGTTCCCACAATTTTCTTGAAGCAAATTGAACTGCCCTAAAGTTATTTGATCTTTCCTGAGGCTCCTACAATTTTCCTGCAGTTTTCTAAACCATGACTGGTCATGGGACTTCCCTTAAAATCTCTAAACTTCCCTGAACCCTAATGAACTTGCCTGAAGTTTTTGCTTCTTCTTGACAAAATACTGTAACTGTCTCTAACGTTCCAACAATTTTCATGATTTTCATGGCAGTTTCCTTAAGATCTCGCAATATTTCTGAAATTCTTAGAACATTTTAGAAATTCTTGAATGTCCCTGCAATTAATTAGTAAACTTGTCTACTATCTTTTATTGCACTAATTATCAGCGATCTTACTTTTATACTCAATTGCATAGTTAATTAATTACAAAACGTTTTTCGTTAATTAAATATTAACTTGCTCAACTGCCTGATTACTTATTAACTCACTATACTTGCTTAATAATTAACTATCTAAATATGTACCTTACAAACTAACCAATACGCCCCGCAGGCAGCAAACGCTTTCCATATCTTCACATCCGAACTAGCTTCAGGTGTAATGATTAGTTTTCACCTTTCATCCAATTCAAAGATCCTATTTAAACAACATAAATATTCACTCAATTATGCAACCGCCTGATACCGATTTAATCACGTCCGGCCATCATCCATGGAGCCCTTCTCCGCCGCCTCTGCCGCCACGCAAGTTCGGGGCGGTCGAAGTCGATCGCATGATAAATTACATCAACATGAGCAGTTCACCCCTTTGCTGCGATCTCCTCCTCCCCGCTGCTACGCTCCTGAAACGATCAGATCAAATTAAAATGTTAATCAGAGCTATAAATCATAATTTTCCGACCTGAACCTAACCTCAACAACCGGAGTCCGACGATACATGAATCCACTTTGTTAACCAATTTGATTTTCCTCTTCTTCTGCTGCTTCGTCTTCTTTCTGTTTTAATTGGGCGGATCATCAATCCGACAACTGCCCGAAGGGATCGTATTACCCTTCACCGTTGCGCAAAATTGGCGTGTCCAAATATCCGGTTATTCAATCGGGTAGTAAACGGTGGTCACCCTAACAGACTGATTTCAATTAGTCTGCGCTTCGCAGCCTACTTTGGTTACCAATTTTAACTCATTATTTTTTTCGATTTTCTTCTTTTTGCAGATCTTTAACACCCCGGCAAATCTCCCTGGCAATAACAACAACAACAACAATAATATTAACAGCAGTAGCAGCAGCAGCAGCACCGGCCTACTGAGCGGTCCGCGGTTTGTCGTTCTGCATCGGCACAATGGCGACTTTGGTTTCACCCTGCGGCACTTTATCGTCTATCCACCGCCGGAAGCAACTTCGGTTTGTATTTCCCTCTGTCCTGTAATTTATCAGTAAAATGTCACTAACATTTTCCGTTTGGAATTTTTAGGACCCCAACACCGATCGCCTAGCGGCGGCAGCCGGGATGCCCAACTTTGCCCAACCGATGGACACCGTGTTCGTGAAGAAGGTTCACCCGAACTCGCCGGCCTTCCTGGCCGGACTGCAGGAAGGCGACCGGCTGCTGGCGGTGAATGGCCTCTCGGTGGCCAGCTTGCCGTACGCGCAAGTCGTGGCGACGATTCAGCAGACGCCGAAAACGCTGACGCTGCAGGTGGTGCCGAAGAACTACGACCTGCTGCAGACGGTAGGTTTTTTTGGGTGGTTAGTTGAGGGAGGTTGTTGCGAAATCCTGGATTTGTTAGATATTAGGATGTTCAGCAGGACAGAGGGATTTTTTTTTCGAATTCCTGGAAAGAATTTCCTAGAATTTCTCTACAGGATTCTTAAAAAATCTTCACGATAGATTTTTTTAGACTTGCGAAACAGTCTTCAGAATGTTCTAACTGGCCTATTGGAGACTCTTCTGAATTCCAATATCTGCCAGACGAAATTCAAACAGGTTAGAATCAACCTTGAAATAACTGAGCTTTTACCTTTGAATAACGAGCTGAAGCTGAGCAAAGATCTTCATGATTTAAAATACAAATTGTAAAAAGTTGTGATCATGGCTTTGCACAGTGGTCTAAGTCCGAAAAAAACTTTATCGTTCGAAATATGAGTTGGAAAACTTAATTTTAAGCATGTGGTGTTTTAGGAAAAGTTTTTCGAAATTGAATTATATAAATTTTGACACTATTCGTTATTTGATTAATCCCCCTAGAAGTGAGATGAAAAATCTTTTTTTTTCAAATGTCAATGTGTCGCATCGGTGTTTTCAGTAAAGTTGTAGAACACATTATTGCAAGAAAGTTTGCTGAAGACGCTAACTTTGGGGGGTATTAATCAAATAACGAATAGCCTCAAAAGATAGATCTTTCAATTTCAATAAACATTCCCGAAGGCCAACTTAAATCTCAAACGACCACGTTTTTTTTCGGTTTTAGACCACAGCACAGTTGGCAAAAACTAACCCAGAACAGCACTTATTTCGAGTCGCTAGCCGTGCTTAAATGTTAGAGATACCTATTCCTATGTATAAAAATCCGGGAAATCTAATGCCGGTGGTTTTGCTGAGCAGACCATTGAATTAGCCTATTTTGCCCCATTTTCCCCCCAAAACTCGTTATTTGAGCTGAATACTGCCGTTAGATTTCAGACATAAAACGCATAATTTCCTATGTGAAAAATTTCAACAAATCCATTGCAGCACATATCGGATAGTGTAGATCACGGGAAGTAGCTCGTTTTGCACCATTTTGCCCAAAATTTAATTCACCATTAACTGGAAACGCTTTCGGCAATGTGGGGCTTTAGGTAGTGATGAAACGTAGCTAGAACTATTTCACAGCCGCAGACAGTATATGAGCAAATCAAACGCGCACTTTTTTGCCTGTAGATTCGATCATTTTCAAACTGCTATTCAATTTTCATACTGTCGTACTCAAGCGGAACTATTAACCTACCCTCTTCAATTATCACACTAAAGCTTCATGTTAGATAGCATTTCCAACCAACTCTGAAAATCGCAAACTTCACATATAAAGTATCATAAAAACACTTTGAAGGTATGCCTCAAGATGACCTTTGTATCCCCTGGACATCAGCCATGGCCTCCAACGTATTGTCGACAGAATCCGGAATGTTTTGATACGCATCACGACTATTTATTGTTGCAATCAGAGACACTTCCCTGGGTTTTTTTTTACGAGTTGAACTAGTCTCAATTGGGGCCTCCCTTAGCTCAGTCGGTAAAGGCGCAACTACAAAGCAAGACCATGCTGGAGGTGGCTGGGTTCGGTTCCCGGTCCGGTCTAGGAATTTTTCGGGTTGGAAAATTTCTCGACTTCCCTGGGCATAGAAGTATGATTGGACTTGCCACACAATTATACTGATGCAGAAATGGTACAGGCATCGGAAGCTCTCAATTAATAACTGTGAAAGTGCATCTTAGAAGACTAAGTTGAGAGCACGCAATAAGCTAATATGCGATATGAAATAAGCTTGAAATGCGAAGAAGAAGAAGAAGAAGACTAGCCAACAATCTCACTAATAAAGATAAAAAATATCCCTGGGACTTCCGGAACCTGCTTCAGGGACATTTAGTGGCCATTGTTACTCTAGTAGATTAGCATGGTCTCTAATGAATTATCCATGAATTTCTAGAAATTTTGATATGCCGCATGAGTAGTTTTTGTTGAAATTAGACGTTGGCCACAAGTTACTGGGCTTCCGAAACCTGTTCCAAAGACATTGGGTGTCCATTATATATCCAGATAATTGACATGGTCTCTAATGCCATGGTCATTAAATTTTGAAAATTTTGATATGCCACACGTCTGGTTTTTGATGAAATTAGAGGATGGCTACTTCCTCCGGGGCTTCCGAAATCTGTTCCAGGGACATTGGGTCATTGTCACTCTTGTCTCTAATGAATTATCCATGAATTTTTAGAAATTTGTATATGCCGAATGACTAGTTTTTGTTGAAATTAGAGGATGGCTACTTCCTCCGGGGCTTAAGGAATCTGTTCCAGGGACATTGGATGGCCTTTGTCACTCTTGTCAATTGGCATGGTTTCTGATGACATGTCCATAAAATTCTGAAAATTTTGATATGCCGCATGACTAGTTTTTGATGAAATTAAAGGTTGGCCACATCCTCCACGGCTTCCGGAACCTGTTCCACGGACATTGGGTAATCATTGTCACTTTTGTCAATTGGCATGGTCTCTAATGACATGTCCATAACATTCTGAAAATTTTGATTTGCCGCATGACTAGTTTTTAATGAAATTAGAGGATGGCTACTTTCTCCGGGGCTTAAGGAATCTGTTCCAGGGACATTGGATGGCCTTTGTCACTCTTGTAAATTGGCATGGTCTCTGAGGACATGTCCATAAAATTCTGAAAATTTTGATATGCCGCATGACTAGTTTTTGTTGAAATCAGAGATTGGCCACATCCTCCAGGGCTTCCGGAACCTGTTCCAGGGACATTGGGTAATCATTGTCACTTTTGTCAATTGGCATGGTCTCTGATGACATGTCCATAAAATTCTGAAAATTTTGATATGCCGCATGACTAGTTTTTGATGAGATTAGTGGATGGCTACTTCCTCCGGGGCTTAAAGAATCTGTTCCAGGGACATTGGATGGCCTTTGTCACTCTTGTAAATTGGCATGGTTTCTGATGACATGTCCATAAAATTCTGGAAATTTTGATATGTCGTATAACTAGTTTTTGCTGAAATTAGAGGTTGGCCACATCCTCCAGGGCTTCCGGAACCTGTTCCAGGGGCATAGGGGTAAACATTGTCACTTATGTCAATTGGCTTGGTCTCTGATGACATGTCCATAAAATTCTGAAAATATTGATATGCCGCATGACTAGTTTTTGATGAAATTAAAGGTTGACCACATCCTCCACGGCTTCCGGAACCTGTTCCACGGACATTGGGTAATCATTGTCACTTTTGTCAATTGGCATGGTCTCTAATGACATGTCCATAACATTCTGAAAATTTTGATTTGCCGCATGACTAGTTTTTAATGAAATTAGAGGATGGCTACTTTCTCCGGGGCTTAAGGAATCTGTTCCAGGGACATTGGATGGCCTTTGTCACTCTTGTAAATTGGCATGGTCTCTGAGGACATGTCCATAAAATTCAGAAAATTTTGATATGCCGAATGACTAGTTTTTGCTGAAATTAGAGGTTGGCCACATCCTCCAGGGCTTCCGGAACCTGTTCCAGGGACATAGGGGTAATCATTGTCACTTTTATCAATTGGCATGGTCTCTGATGACAAGGTCATAAAATTCTGAAAATTTTGATATGCCGCATGACTAGTTTTTACTGAAATTAGAGATTGGCCACATCCTCCAGGGCTTCCGGAACCTGTTACACGGACATTGGGTAATCATTGTCACTTTTGTCAATTGGCAAGGTCTCTGATGACATGTCCATAAAATTCTGAAAATTTTGATATGCCGCATGACTAGTTTTTGTTGAAATCAGAGATTGGCCACATCCTCCAGGGCTTCCGGAACCTGTTCCAGGGACATTGGGTAATCATTGTCACTTTTGTCAATTGGCATGGTCTCTGATGACATGTCCATAAAATTCTGAAAATTTTGATATGCCGCATGACTAGTTTTTGATGAAATTAAAGGTTGACCACATCCTCCACGGCTTCCGGAACCTGTTCCACGGACATTGGGTAATCATTGTCACTTTTGTCAATTGGCATGGTCTCTAATGACATGTCCATAACATTCTGAAAATTTTGATTTGCCGCATGACTAGTTTTTAATGAAATTAGAGGATGGCTACTTTCTCCGGGGCTTAAGGAATCTGTTCCAGGGACATTGGATGGCCTTTGTCACTCTTGTAAATTGGCATGGTCTCTGAGGACATGTCCATAAAATTCAGAAAATTTTGATATGCCGAATGACTAGTTTTTGCTGAAATTAGAGGTTGGCCACATCCTCCAGGGCTTCCGGAACCTGTTCCAGGGACATAGGGGTAATCATTGTCACTTTTATCAATTGGCATGGTCTCTGATGACAAGGTCATAAAATTCTGAAAATTTTGATATGCCGCATGACTAGTTTTTACTGAAATTAGAGATTGGCCACATCCTCCAGGGCTTCCGGAACCTGTTACACGGACATTGGGTAATCATTGTCACTTTTGTCAATTGGCAAGGTCTCTGATGACATGTCCATAAAATTCTGAAAATTTTGATATGCCGCATGACTAGTTTTTGTTGAAATCAGAGATTGGCCACATCCTCCAGGGCTTCCGGAACCTGTTCCAGGGACATTGGGTAATCATTGTCACTTTTGTCAATTGGCATGGTCTCTGATGACATGTCCATAAAATTCTGAAAATTTTGATATGCCGCATGACTAGTTTTTGATGAAATTAGTGGATGGCTACTTCCTCCGGGGCTTAAAGAATCTGTTCCAGGGACATTGGATGGCCTTTGTCACTCTTGTAAATTGGCATGGTTTCTGATGACATGTCCATAAAATTCTGGAAATTTTGATATGTCGTATAACTAGTTTTTGCTGAAATTAGAGGTTGGCCACATCCTCCAGGGCTTCCGGAGCCTGTTCCAGGGGCATAGGGGTAAACATTGTCACTTATGTCAATTGGCTTGGTCTCTGATGACATGTCCATAAAATTCTGAAAATATTGATATGCCGCATGACTAGTTTTTGATGAAATTAGAGGTTGGCCACATCCTCCACGGCTTCCGGAACCTGTTCCAGGGACATTGGGTAATCATTGTCATCATCATCAGAAGTGCCGAAATTAACCAAAAATATCATCTACAAGCAGCACAAGTGGTTTAAAATAAACTGCAGAGCTCTTGGATCACTTTCACGAATTGACCCACTACAACGGATCTCCCGGAGGACAGTCCCGTGCTCTTCAAGGTCCAACCTAAGATCACAACCGCATTCATTCCTATATCGCTATACTTTCCGAAGAAACCATGGAACTCCAGGATGAGTTTCATGACTTGATTTCTCTTAAGGGTGCTCCGGAGCTTCCGGAGGACCACCCGTGGTCCTCTTAATCCACATGCCGATTCCAGATCACAATTCATTCAAGTTGCATTACCACAATTGATTGAACAAAATAATCGCGGAAGTTTAGGACGACTTTTATGGAAGTTCCGGATTTTCCGGAGGACACTCTCACAGTCCAAATTTTGGTTCCAAATTAAAATTCATTCACATCTCATCACTACGAGTGATTTCAAAGGAAAGCGCCAAGTTCTTGGATCAGTTTCATGAATTGACCGGTTTTACGGATGTTCCGGATGTTCAGCAGGACCGCCCGTGCCCGCCTGAGCCCACATTCCAGTACCAGATCCAAATTGGGTCAGTGTTGTGGGTGTAGTGTTTCCATTTTCCGACCAATTTTGGTTTTCCGGGAAACAGCTGACGGCTCTTCCCGGGAATTTCCGGGAATCCGGAAATATTTTAGTTCTGAAATCAGGCAAATTTAAAGTTGAACTCATGACATATTTTCAATATGTTCTGTATTCAATTTAGGGGAATTTACGTATTCTCGTCAATCTAAGCAGCGTCTGCACTTCTACTAGCATTTTCTCAGCGTCACGCACATATATGATGTGTCTGTTTGTTTACATTCATCTGCTGCTTGCTTCTCTATCCATTCCAATCGACAGAATTTTTCAAAACGTTTTGAAAGCGTTTTTACAACGCTCCAAACTTCTCAGGTGAGTGTGACTATTGTCGGCAGCCTCTTTTTCTTCGGCAACCTTCCCATTAGAACTGCGTGTTAACCAGCTATTCTATTATCGGCAACTCGAAATCAACCCCATTTTGTAGTGCGTATGCTTTATTTGAAGAAAAATGTAGCATTACTGGATTGCTCGATCGTTCAAATATAATCAGATTGAAGCTGAAAGGCTAAACAATCGTTTGGACACATTCAGGGAAGTGCGTTGATGGGAAAACATAGTGAAATTAACGTTTAAATTTTGGTTGCCGAAAACAGTCAGTGGGTGCCGAAGCCAACATTTACCCTATATATTTTAACTTCTATAGAACTATTTATAAAGTGTGGAATAGTTTAGCCACTTAATTTTAATATTTTTACTTCCATTGGAAAAAAATCTTCGAGCTGCCTTTCGATTTTTCTTCCGACTTCTTTAACCGAATTCTCCCAGAAGAAATTTATCGGAATTCTCTACCAACTTTCCTAGAAACTTTAATCTGATTTCATTGGAAGCTTATTCCAGAAGTACTTCTAACCTTCCACAATAGCGTCTTTTGACTTCCGCTAGAAGATTCATCCTCATTCATTCACCTCATTCAAACTTTCTTAAAACTTACATTGGAAGTTTCTGTTCAATAATTTACCAAAAATCACCTATTTGCTCCAATTTCCCGGGAACAAGTGTAGAGGGATTTTTGGGAGAAAAATATAAGAAATTTCCCAGAGAAGGCAAAAGAAACTTCCAAGAGAAAAGTTTGGATTAACTTCCAGAGAACTCTGAAGATCTTTTCTAAGGTAAATTGGTCGAATTCGACTTCTCCGGAATTTTCATCCGACTTCCTCGATCAGTCTTTTTGGCTCCGGATAGAGATGTCTTCTGATTTCCCCTGAAGTTTTTCCCGGAAATTTCTGCTGGATTCCCTCGGAAATATGCTACGACTTCTTCGGGAACATTCTTCCAATTTACCTTAGAAAAGATCTTCAGAGTTCTCTGGAAGTTAGTCCAAACTTTTCCCTTGGAAGTTTCTTTTGACTTCTCTGGGAAATTTCTTGTATTTTTCCCCTAAAAATCCCTCTACCTTCGTTCTCGGGAAATTGGAATAAATAGGAGATTTTTGATAATTTTCCCGGGATGTCCCAGATAGGAATCAATAGTCATATGTCATCACAACAAGTGATTTCATAACACATTTCACATGAAATGTAATAATGCCAGTCTACAGTTAGCAACGCTCGAATCGGTTGCTACAGAGCGCTGCTTTGTGGTGGTTTGGTTTGGTAGTCCACCTACCGATAAGATTGCTCTTAGAGTTCCTAGAAAAGCTCTAGGAGTGATGGATTTTTAAAATAATGTTTTGAATCAACGGCATAGAAGTCGTAGAAATAAGCTGCTTTTTTTTCCTAAGAAGAGTTCCTTGGAAAAAATTTCTTTGCATCCCTTGATAGAATTGCTTAGAATTTCTGATTCAGAGTTTTCCCAAATTCAGATCAGAAAACTAGAAATTCATTCGTACTCAGTATCAAACGGTAAACTGTCTTTTCCACCTTGAGTGGTTCAGTGCAACGAATGGCTTAGAATGTTCATGGAAAAATTAAGAGAAACTCTAGGCAGAGTTCCTTAGAATTATTTTATGGAATATTCACCAGGATTCTTGTAAGAAAATTTGAAAATCACCCTCCATAATATTGTTTGAAATCCACCAAACACGTTTCATCATTCCTAAGAAAAGATTGCCTGGAATTCTTAGCAGCAAAAATGGCTAGACTCCAAGAAAAAAATGCTCAAAAATGAATGTAGGAGTAGTCCAGAGTTCATAGATGTCCTGAGTCCATAGAAGTGTTTGCCGATAATTAAAAAAAAAATGAATCCCTTGGAGGAATGGCTTTGAATCTCGAATAATACTGTTTAGAATAAATGCAAAGACAAGATATCAAAGAAGACTGGAAAGTCTTCCATTTTCTCATACGTCCGGTATGAGACAGCCAAAATCGCGTCATCTGCCGCTCAAAGGTTAATGCTCCGAACGAATTGGATAGCAAAGATTCCAACCTCAGAAGAAAGGCTGCTTCCGCCTTCGCTCAAGCACAGTGCTACTTCGCCTGTCGTTTAAATTCTGGCAATGTTGTCAGTCTTCTTGATATGATGTCTTCGATTCCCATAAGGAATTGCTTAGAATTCAATGGTTAGAACCCATATACGGATGGCTTAGAATTCATTGGAAATAAGGCTAAGAATCCTTAAAAGTGATGGCTTAGAGTAAAAAAAAACCTTGTTTAGAATCAATTCCTTAAGAATTCATAGAAAATAGCTTAATTCGTGCTTTTCATACTACTCCCGTTTTCTCATTCGACTGGTGCAAGACAGGCACAATCGCGTCAAAAGTATAAATGTTTCGAACGGCCGATGAGATCAACTATGCGTGATCCACGTTTTTGCGAATTAGAGCGAAGGGAACTTAAATATGAGTTAGATTCGCCGGTCGTGCGAACGATAGCTAAGAATACAACCTCAGACGAAATTTTTGTGTTTGCGCTGCTTCCACCTTTGCTCAAGTCCAATGCTACTCCCAACATACATTGAAAGCTGAATAAGAGCTTATTCATGCAAAAATATGCTTTTTCAGCTTTAAATTGTCTTATTCAGCTCTTAATCAGTCCAAATTCTTGGTGGAGCTCTGTCTGTCACTTGAATTCTGGCAATGTTGCCAGTCTTCTTGAAAGGAATTCTTCGATTCCAATAAGGGATTGCTTGGAATTCAATGATTAGAACCCATAGAGGGATGGCATAGAATTCAATTTAAAAAAAATACTTAGAATCCTTAAGACTTGTTTAAATTCATAGAAAAATGGCTGACAGGTTCTTAATAAAAAACCTTTAGAAGATATTTGAAAAAAAAAAACCTTGAAGCAATTGCTTAGAATGCCTGATCCAAAATTTCCAAAAATACATTCGCTTTCCGAATCAGCAAGTAACCCCCTTTTTTCCCTTCTCCCGCAGTACTTCAGCGAAACGGCCTACAATCCGGAAACGAACCAACGGCCCCAGCCTCAGCCTCAGCCTCAGCAGCAGCAGCTCTTCATTCCAAAGGCGGCTTCGACGCCCAACTCGCGGTCTAGCGTGAGCGGAGGAGTCAAGCGACTGCTGACCGACGTCCAGGAGAAGCAGGAATCGCTCTACAGCACGCTGCAGGAGATTGTCGAGAATGCCACCGCGAACAAGGCGGCCATCTACGCGGAGGTGCCGAGGATCCGCTCGCCACCGGTGGCGGCCGAAGCCCCCAGGGCAGCCGCCGCCGCCACCGCCAACGCAATGCAGCAACGGTCCTCTGCCAAGCCTCTGGTCTTTGACTTTGATCCCGTCAAACAGCAGCACTACCTAATGTCTCAACAGCAGCAGCAGCAGCAGCAACAACATAAGCAGCTGCAGCACGGCAAGGACAGTGATTCGATCAGTTCGTACGATTCGGTAAAGTCCGCCGCGACCCTCTCGGCCAACGATGTCCTGATGGGCGGCGGCGATAGTGCAATAATGTCCCGATTGCGGAAGAGTTTCGAGCAGAAGGAGGAATTCCTGAGGCGCCCAGCGCCGGTCGTTCCCCAGTCGGCTGCCGTCGCTCCGTTCGATGTCCAACAACGGGAATTCTACGGGCGGCCCAACCGGTTACAGAAATCCGTTTGGCCACCACCACCAGTACAACAGCAACAGCCACCTCCCTCCATAACCACCATGCCTGTGATAACCTCCTCCAACGACCTCCAAGATTCCTTAGCAAAACCATCGAAAATGTCCTCCGGGACGCAAACGACGACGACGACGACGACGCCCACGACGATGGTGGTGGCGCCAAAACCAACTGCCACCGGTAGCAGCTTAGCAGCGGCTCGCGAGCAGCACTCATCCCACCTGTCGGCCATCCGGGAGCAGTTCTTCAGCGGAATCAACGGCTTGACGGTGGAACAGGTTCAGTTTGGCCCTCCACCCAAATCGGCACCTCCCTCGCTTGCGATGCAAAGAGACCAACAGCAACTGAGTGGATCGCAATCGGCACTTCCCCTGTCGCCGCACAGTATGCACGTTGTATCGGAGAAGACCAAGCTGTTCGAATCCGGGCGGCCCCTGTCGCCGGACGGCATCGACCGAGCCGAACTGTACAAGAGCGAACTGAGCCGGATAAACACCAAACAGGTAGTGGCGAATGTGGCCGTGCGGCGGAAAGAGTTTGAATTGAAGGCGGAGAGCACCGGTTGGCGAAGATCGACAGGTATGAGTTTGCTGCAGATCTATAATCTTTCAAAACATGCTAACGATTGACCCTTTTATATTTCAGAAGAAAAACCCCGCTCGGTAAGTTCGGATTCCGACTCTCGTCGGACGCCGATTCGAGTGCGGTCCCTGTCTGTCGAATCGACCCATATGAAAGATCCCTCCGTTCTCCTGTACGCCAGCACCGGCAGCAGTGACGATCAGCAAATCTCCAAGGAGAGCATATCTCCGGGACCTTGCACCCTTCTCCGACAGCGACCGGTTCGGGAAAATTCCTACCGCAATGCAGTCCGTAACTCGACAGGTATGTTCCGACCACCCCGCCGGAAACTTCTCTCACCTTCTCTTCCGACACAGCAGCACGATTATTTCCATTTTCCGTTCATCCACAATGCACCCCCCATTTATTCTGATCTGTTTATCTTCGTCTATCCCCACCACCTTTAAAAAAAAAACCTTCCCCAAAAACAGCATTTTGGTTACAAGGACCGGCCACATCGGGAACATTCGTACCGCCACCATCAGCACTGAGTCCCCCGTCCTCGGCACCACCCTCGCATACCCATTCCTCGTTTCCCTTCTCGCCGTCCGGCGCCTCCTGCAACACATCGTCCTCCTCCTCCTGTTCGTCCTCTTCCCTGACGCTGGGCATGACCCCAATCCCACCGGTTCGTACCTACGCGGCCGCGCACCACCGGCTCCAGCCCCTCTCCGAGGAACAGTTCAAGCTGAAGATGCTCCACCGCAATCAAACGATCGTCGAAGTGCACAGCCAACCACCGCAGGCCGAAGAAAGCGGCGGAGCCATCAGCAGCAGTTCCGACGAGGGAGGACCACTCGCCGCCGGTGGTGCCGACGGTGATGTCGATATGAAACCAGTTCCTAGCGCCGCAGCGGTTGCATCTTCGTCTTCCGGTGCAGATGTTGCTGGTAGTGCGGCGGCCGTCGTCGTCGTCGCTCCGTCTTCGTCTACTTTGGCTACCGTGGCGGCTGTCCGGCCGACGACGTTGAATTTATGTTCAGGTTGTGTTTTATTTTCTTTTATTATTTTGTAAGATTATTTTCTGTTCTTTCTGTACGTCCTGTAGTAGTTTCCTTTCTACTTAGACTGTCTTTGTTTAGCTTTTAACTCTGAGGGAGCATGCATTAAGTGTGGCACGTGAATTTATCGGAATGCATTCGTACGTAATGGATGCTCCCTAGCCGTGTTCTGTGCGGTGCGATTGTGCTACTAAGTGTACTAATTCGTTTGAGACTCTGGAGGTTTTATACGTAGAAACGAAATTTGATTAATAAGACTTATTAACTCCCCCTTGGACGTTTCTTGCATGACTTTAGGATTGTTCCTTTAACTGTCTTCTGACTTTACCCCATAAGACGTTTGGAGATTCTCCACTATTCTACTGGGATTATCCTAATCGACGTCTTTAAGGCCTCTCAGGGTGGCCAGCCAGCGAACTGGGAAATCCGGGAAATAACCGGGAATTAACCTGGAATTCTACGGGAGAACAATAAGTCCCAACAAGTGGTAATTTTTGTACGCCAGAGATTCAGAATCAACTAGTGAAAAAGAGCGAGTTTCTACCAAAAGAATTATCCTTTCATTTTGTACGATTCGAAATTTAAGTTGAAATTTTTATTCAGAATTTAAATAATTATCATGAATTTATCCTCTGAATTATCATGGAATTCTTATTAAAATAACCTGAACACTCTCCTTGTAATAACCTCGGAATTTTTCTTGAAATTCATTCGAAACTCTGCTAGTAATTTCCTTGGAACTAAAAAAATAAAAAGAAAATCGAGTTTTCAGAATAGTTTTAAAGGATTCCAAGGAAATTATTAGGAGAGTTCTGAGAAGAATTTTGACTAAACTGGTCAAAATTCTTCTAAGAAAGTCCCTGGAATTTTCCTAATACAGCCATTCCATAGCAAAATGATATGGTGGTTCTCAGAATTTCGTAAAAATTGGTAGTTTTGTTCCTTATCGCAAAAAATTAGATTCGTATTTTTTATTTTGTTATTAGGGTGACCATTTTAACATGGAAAAAATGATTTTTTTTTTCAAAAATTCTTATTATGTGAACCACTTTAGTCTAGTCTAGTCACATTGCACAGTGGTCCAGAATGCAGATTTAGGTGGAAGGATATGTTTTGAGCCTGAAATTGAAGCTTTAGACTAAAAGTATCCTCTACAAAGTTGTTTATTATAGTTAGGCCATCATTTTTATGTCAATGAATTCTAGGGTGGTTCTTATTATCATTAAAATCTAAAATCTAATTTTTTGTTTGAAGAAATTAAGGTATACATTCTTTGGCAAAGTAATAGGCAATAGAAGGCTTATTGGAAGATAACGTGTTTGCTGTGCTGTACTTTTTGACTGTAATTAAACGATTTTTTGAATAATGAACAACAATCCTCGGCTCTGTAAAGTTAATTCGATTGAGCCTTATCAAATAAATTAATTACAAAAAAAAATATCAGGTTGCTCATACATTATTGCAAAGAGAGCCAGGTGATAAAAATTCCACTGCCCAACAATTCAAATCATATCTCCCATGCATTTTTTTAAGATATTCAAGGTTGCTCAGAAAGTGATCATAAGTCTCCAAAATATCCTCAAAATATTTGTTTTAGACTTCAGCTTGGACAGGTATCATTCTGAAGATCTTCAAATGGCCAACAATCCAAATGACATCTCCAAGTTATTCTAGATAGATTCCAGGATGCTCAGAAACTATTCAAAATAACACCAAGTGATAAGAGATCACCTTGAAATCCTCAGGATGCTTTTTCAGGGACTTCAGATTGATCAGTAGGGTGTCCCAAAATTGCACTTTGTCTGGAAATCTGGGGGCTCACCCTCCAAACGATAGCTAAGGGTGTATGGCGGCAACTCTGGGAAACGTTGTTTAAAGGTCGCCCCGACGAGATTTTTGGAAAAGTCCATTTTTCATAGCTATTATCCAATAAATATTTTTAGTTCTTTAAATTTCAGTGAAATCTCACCCTTTTATATTTTTCGCAGATTACCAAGGGTCAAAACTATAAGAGAAAAAATTGCTACGACATGTTCTGTGTCCAATTTGTTAGTTACAATTTTTCAAATTCTCTAAAATGATGTTTTTTGTTGTACATCACTGCATTCAATCATCAAAAGTGGGTATCAAACATAGCGCTATTATCAATCAAATGCAGCAGAAATATGGGAAATTTTATAAGCAAAAACTTTGTCGAAGGCACTTTAACCTCATTTTTAACCGTTAACAAGTTATTCGTGATTTACTGTGGAAAGAAAAGTTCAGAATTTCAATACTTGCAGTATGTCCACCAGCAAATCAAACTATCATTGAAATCGATAAATACAAATCACCTACTTTGTTGCAAATCACTTGATAACATTTGTTTCGAAGTTTCTAGAATTCAATATGAGCGGAGAGGGATCACACAATTTATTAGTTTCCATTGGATTGCCGTAGCAAGCAGAACCAAAAAAGAAAATCATGTCACCAAAAACCAAGCTCAAGACGGATCTCATCACCGGTATTGCGAGGAAGCATTTGCCCAGAAACCGTTTGCCGTCGGAGTTGGCCGTCATCAGGTACTTTCGATTCAAGCATGAAACCCAACAACTTTCAATCGGAAAAAGCATTCAAGTTGGGGCTACCGAATCTGGGGAGATTTGGAATCAAGCCGGACTTTTCTACCAGCACAAGCGGAACGAGGGTTAGGAGGGTTGCCAAGCTCGTTGTGACATGGCAAAGCCAAAGTAAGGCTTTCAAGAAGAAAAATCAGAGCTATTGCCAGCTTTGAAGATGTGTAGGATGCGGTTGAGTTACTTCTTCAACATAAGCGTGAACCACATCGATGAAGAGCTACGAAACGATACTGTCCGTGCAGAATTCTGGAGCCAGCAGGTGACAAACAAAGTTCCGGTTGAGTTTCCGAAAAGCTTCTCAAGCAGTGTACCATTGATATGCAAGCAGGCGCAGAATATTCAATATGGGTATTTCCGGAATCGGGATGACGTCTTGAGACCGAAAATCGATGTCCGACGCCATTGCTTAATCCAACATGGTGGCTCTCAGATTCTGAAAAACTGTCATATACTCTACAATATGTATGGGTATCTACGGAACGGGTTCGACGAAAATATATGTCTGACACTATTTTGTAATCCAACAGATTCAGAAAAACTATCGAATTTGGGTATTTTCGGAACAAGTACTACGCGTACATCCCGAAAATCGAGGTCTGATGCCAGTTTTGAATCCAAGATGGTGGCAAGTGACTTCAGAAAAAAAAACTGTCAAATACCCTATAATATGGATATTTTCGGAACTGGGTCGACGTGTTCATCCCAAAAAGTGATGTCTGACGCCATTTTGGAATCCAAGATGGCGGCCGTTGTTTTCTAAAAAGCTGTCAAATTCTACGATATGAATATTTTTGGTACATGACGCGTGTATGATGCCGAAAATCGATGTCCGATACCATTTTTGAAATCCAAGATGGTGGCTCTCAGATTCGGAAAAACTGCCAAATACCCTACATCATGGATATTTTCGGAACAAAACTACAATTTATGTCCAACATCATTTTGTAATGCAAGATGGCGGCCATTGACTTTAGAAAAACTGTCAAATACCCAATAATATAGATTTTTGAGATGACATGTAGATGCCGAATATCAATGTCCGATACCATTTTGAAATCCAGGATGGTGGCTTCCGGTTTCAGAAAAAGACATAAATACAGTCAAAAGGAATGACGTCTAGATAATAACATCTAGAAATAGAAGATGAGTGACCTGAAATCCAAAATGGCAGCTACACATGAATGTGGGTATTTTGGGATTGGCGGTGGTAACTACGGATTAGCAATTACTGTCCGATGCCATATTGAATTCCAAGATGGCAGCTTCTGGTTGCAGATAAACTGGATAGTAATGTTAAATACCCCCACAATATGGGTATATTTTGAATGGGGACGATATGTAGAGGCTCAAAATCGATGCCCGACTGTCAAATACCCTTCACTAGACGGAAAATTGATGGCTGACGCCATTTCGGCATCTGTACGTCGTCTTTGAGCCGAAAATATCCATATTGTAAAGTATTTTACAGTTTTTCGCACTTTTTCTGAAATCGGCAACCAACATCTTTGATTTCAAAATGGCGCTGGAAATCGATTTTCGGTCTCAGGACGTCATCACGATTCCGAAAATATACATATTGAAGGGTATTTGGCAGTATTTCCCACTTTTTTTTTCTGAAATTGGAAGCCGTCATCTTGGATTTCAAGATGGCGCTGGATATCGATTTTTGGTCTGTAGAGCTCATCTCGATTCCAATAATATACATATTGATGGGTATTTGGCAGTATTTTCCACTTTTTCTGAAATTGGAAGCCGCCATCTTGGATTTAAAGATGGCGCTGGATATCGATTTTTGGTCTCTAGAGGTCATTCCGATTCCAAAAATATACATATTGATGGGTATTTGGCAGTATTTCCCACTTTTTCTGAAATAGGAAGCCGCCATCTTGGATTTCAAGATGGCGCTGGATATCGATATTTGGTCTCTAGAGATCATCCCGATTCCAAAAATATACATATTGATGGGTATTTGGCAGTATTTCCCACTTTTTCTGAAATTGGAAGCCGCCATCTTGGATTTCAAGATGGCGCTGCATATCGATATTTAGTCTCTAGAGATCATCCCGATTCCAAAAATATACATATTGAAGGGTATTTGGTAGTATTTCCCACTTTTTTTTAAAACCGGATGCCGCCATCTTGGATTCCAAACATCGATTTTCGGCAGCTTTCAGTTGTATCCGTTCCAAAAATACCCATCACTGCAAACACGAAGTTCAGCGCCAAGATTCAAGCTACTTCGAGTCAGAGGTGAAATCACGTCAAAACAACACAATTCCAGTTATCTCTATCTTGTTATGTCTCGCATCCAAAGCGACATCCATTTATTAGAAAACGACCAGCGGCAGTTTTGTCGCGACAGAATGGAAGAATGACATGACAGACTTTTTTCGTCAATAACCATGTCGACAGTTTCCGTCAATCTTGTCGTCCGACGTACGTGAAACAACTAATAGCGAATTCGTTTATTATTCAGTTCCAACCTGGATCGGGTATCAAGATTGGGTCTGCTTGTTTTCTGACAAACGTCAGTTTGCTCGTTTGTTTTTAAAACCTAGCTCAGGTTGAGGTTCGCACTGACAAATAGTTCGGTTTCGCACTGGGTTGGAACTGGTTCCAACCCCGATAATAAACGAATTCGCTATAAGTCATTCTGGAAAACGTCACGCAACAGATGTTTCGTGACCAAATGAGAGAAAGACAAGAATAGAAAATGTTTCGTCGAGAGACAACCCAGTAGATCAGTCTTTCAAGCAGAATTTCGTTGCATCGTGCTTGTCAGATAAGCGTTGACTTTTTTGTTGTTGTCGTTGTTACATAGTTTATCGTCATGAGGTTGACAATTCCCAAGCCTGATTGTATATTTAGAAAATTTCTAGAATGTTCCAAGGGAACTTCTGGGAAGTTCCGATGGAGCTTCAGGGATGTTCCTTACGAAATTCTCAAGCTACTCCAAAATAACTGGCGGTAAGTTCTTAGGAAACATAGAAACCTCCACCTCTACCATTTTCAAAGAACTTGGTTTAGTCTTCAATCTGCTGCAGGAAGTCCTGAAGATATTATTCCTTATTAACCTGAAGTCTTGAGAGAACACATAAGGGACGTCATTTGAATTTTGGAACAGTTGAAAGGTGTTCAGCATAATACTTGGTCATTATGAAGTCGGGAAAGAACAATTCAAAATGTCCTATCTGCTTTGATCGCCTCTCTTCACCGACTTTCTCTTTCGTTAATAACGCAGCTGTACAAACTTTCCCTGTTGAATGTCATGTTCTGGATGCTAGATGAGAATCTCCTTTATCAAACTATGTGAACAGTATGTTGGTTATCAAAAGAGAAAGTCGATTAAGATAATCTATCGAAGCAGATGGGTCCTTTTGAAATGTTCACCGAGACTTAATTTAAATCTTGAAATCAATGTGCTGAAAGTCTTTGGAATAATTCCAGTTGATCCAGAAATTGTGGTGGACTATAATGAAGAACCCAAGTTACAATGCTGGTTTTATCGTGGTTTTAAAGCATTCTACAAGACTAAATCATGGTCTACAGAACCCTCATAAAACCATAATTGTTACTTGGGAAGTCATATGATTGTTTGAACAATTTTACATCAAGTATTGCCCATACTTGATCAACCTGAAGAAACGTCAAAGATCAGTTCAAATAATTTAAGAGAAGTTCACAGAAGTTCCGACATGTTCATGCAACTTCTTGGAAGTTCACGGAACTTCCGACGAATTCACGGAACTTCCGACAAGTTCAAGGATCTTCCAACAACTTCAAGAAACTCCCAATAAGTTCACGTCACTTTCGAACACATCATGAGACTTCTGAAAAGTTCACAGAGCTTCGACCAAGTTCACAGAACTTTCGAAAAGATCGCGGAATTTCTGACATTGGCGAGAAGTTCGTGGATATGGCGATAATTTCACCAATGCACCGGAAATCACGGAATTTCGGAAAAGTTCACAGAATTCTTAAAGTTACTATGAAGTGCACAGAACAAAGATAGCCTAACTTTTCTGAAGTTCCCACAACCTTTCATATGTTCAACGAGCTTTTCTGAAGTTCATAGAACTTCTGTAGAGTTCCCAAAACTTACCAGAAGTGTCAAGAACGTCATAAAATTTCATTGAAGTTCGTAAAACTTCTCTTGAGTTTACAAAATTTTCTCAAAATCGCAGAACTTGTCTGAAGCTCCCAATACTCCTCTGAGTACCTCTAGAAAGGGTTGGTTTGACTCGCTTTACTGTAACAAATATTTTTCGGAATTAGTGAATCATGGGATGCTTGCAAGCTAGAAGATGAGGTTGAAAAGTGTGTGTTTGAGATATCAAATCTGTTACTTTCACTTTCAGAGAGTCACAATCAGCGATTTACTGATTCGTGAGCATTCACTCAGTGTCATCAAATCGCTGATTGTGGCACTCTGAAAACGAAATTGACAGATTTGATGTGTCAAAAACATACATTTCAACCTCTTCTTGTAACTTACAAGAACTTAATATCATTGTAGAATCCAATGAATCCATACTTTTGAAAAATATTGTTTTTATGTAAAGTGAGTCAAAGCAACCATGTTTCCATACATTTCATAAGTTATACAAATTTAAGACAAGACAACACGAAAGTTTTTAGACCACTCTGCCCCTGTGTAGGCAATCCCGATTGAAGCGAAATGAATGGGGAGAGTGGAAATTCCAACTCCCTGCCTTTAACATTTCGTGAAAAGAGGGCGCGCTCTTCTCCCCCACTCATTTGGGCATCCTTCTCGTAACCTCCTAGTAACCTAGCTGAAGTTTACTAGGAAATTCACTTCGGAAGTTCTCTTGGATCTTCGCTAATATTTCTTAAAAATTTCATTTACAGTGTCCTCAAAACATCTCTGAAGTTCCTTCGGATGTTTCAGCGAAACTATTTTTTTTTTCGTAAATCTATTTGAATCCCAAAGACAACGGTTGGCACTATTCAGATCGAGTGTCAGTTTATCATAATAAATAAAAACCGGGTTTAAATTAAAATTTCACTACTTTGAAAATAAATACGAAAGGATTCCTTGTGTTCCTACCAGTCCCACCCGGGCCAGTTAATTTTCAAAAAAATTAAACCTCTACCTACACTAATGCAATTTATATAATCCTCGATCTTTCCCTCCGCTGGCTGTCTCCGTATCGGTTGCGGTAATCTCAGAGTTTTTTTTATTTTAAAAGCTCTAAAATGTTGAACTTTTACCACCCCTTTCTCCGGGGGGTACGCCTCGATTTTTATTTTTATTTTTCAATTTCCTCACAACCGGCACTAAAACTCACCCAATAAAGAAATGTAACTGACCGTAATAACGACCCAATCACACACGCACACACACACACGTAACAATATGATTGCTTTTTTTTTCCCCGCTTCCACGCCTTCTTCGATCGATTCGTGCGGTTTTTCCACGATAAGACAATAGAAGGCGAGGAAGAAAATCGCCTGCCTCTAACCACAGCGCACTAATTGCTCACTCACTTACACTCACCGACTGACAACCATATTAACATCTCGCAACCTATTTCCCGCCACTAATGATCTCCCGTCGTCTCGTTCAAGCAGACTCCAGCCAGGTTGTGCTCCGCCAGAAGCAGCAGCAGCCCAACTCCTCGTCGCTCACCATCGAGGAGGATGAGCGCAAGACCCGTCGGATATCGTACCTCCGGGCGACGGCCCACGACAATCTGTTCCAGATGATGGAGAGCAGCGACCCTTCGGACAGCAGCCCGATGTCCCTGCCGCCCGATACGCCGGACACCGAGCCGGAAGCGATCGGCGATCAGCAGCAATTGCAGCCAGCTTCTCAACAACAGCAGCAGCAACAATCGCAATCTCAGCAACCTTTGCTCGCTGCTGCCCAGCAACCGCAGCTACCGCAGCAACTGAAGAGGTAAGCAGGTGGAACGTTTTCCTTATGATGATTATTTGGTTATTTGTAGGATCGTAAATCGTGAAGCGACGCTCTAATTGGAGGTAGATCGCTGAGGCGAGATTTTGCAGACGGTGGTTTCTAAAATTTCATAAGAACCATGCATTGTCTCCGAATTGTAACCCGAATTCTAATGATCGTTTGTCGTCTATTTCTTTCGCGTGGCTTCCTTACAATTATCTCGTTGCGCATGAACCCCCCCAAAAAACCACCAGCGCGTATCGTCCCTGGCGACGTCCGCGACTCACCAGCGACATTCAGCCGCTGCGAAGGCTGTTCGATGAATCACCCCTGGTCGTCAATTTGCCACCGATTCTCGAACAGCAACAGCAGCAGCAACAATCGGAACCGTCGACGCCAACGGCGACTGCCAAAATCGGAACGGGCTCGGTGATGGATCTGTCCAAACTGGTCGGTGCTGAGAGTGATGAAGAGGAACCCGCCACCAAGGAACTGGTGCCGCAGATCAGGGTTGGCTCGGAAGGAGCGCCGAAGCGATCGTCCTCGCTGACGACGGCCATGCTGAGCAGCCAGTTGAGCGGGACCAGCATGGGGAATCTGCACGTGATTACTACCACGTCGGCTTCCGGTATCGTCACGAGGAGCTACTTCTTCGCGCAAAGGTTGGCGTTTGAATTGAGAGTGTTGCTATCCGCTGTTTGTTTGATTGTTTGTTTGTTGTTTTATTGTTGTTTATTGACCACCTTCTAAACGTCAACCAATCAATTCGAGCCCCAATCGAATTGATTAGTTGACGTTTCGAAGGGGGTCGGATACTGATGGGATTGATGCTGTATTTTATGTTGGGATATGACGTTTGAAAACCTATATTGCGTTTAATCGTGGATCGTGGATTTTAAAATAGCGTCCATTTTTGGCTTTTGTCCAGAAGGCTGTCTTAAGCCGAAATTGACTAACACGGGGGAGAATTCTAATACAATATACTCTGGATTTTTAATAATTGTATGGGGTCAGGCATGGACAATCATTTACATTCATTTACATTCATTTGCCTCGAACCTCGAAACAGAATTCCGAAAAAATAATGTATGAAGCTTTTGTAAGTTTTATAATTAGATACAACTTTAGTAAACAATTCAAATCTGTATCTCTTATGCATGATGAACCAGAGCGAATAGAACCCACCATTGTTTTTTCAGTGAATGTAAATTACATTCACTGAAATACAGTAACAAGTACTCCCCTCTCTAGTTCGTCATGCATAAGAGATACAAATTTAAGTTTTTCACAAAAGTTGTAGTAAATCATAAAATCTGCAAAAGCATCATTATACGGAATTCTGATGATGAAAAAAGTTAGAGGCAAATTAATGTAAATGAATGCTCGAAATGAATGTAGATGATGTTCCATGCCTGTATGGCGTGCCTCCTTTTTTTCCAATATTCCAATATATTATATTAAATAATTTTATTTTATTTTTTATAATAGAATTTTCGATTATTCGCTAACAAATTTGAAGAAGTATGACCCTTTTTAAAATCCATCAAATGCTCCGATTAAGAAGTTAAATGAAAACAGTTTTTTTAAAAGTTAATGAAAATAGACATTCTAGAAGTTCTTAATCGTCAAATTTCGAAATTTCAAACAACTTAGTTAAATTTAAAAAGTAGACGAAAATCACACATTTTCGCTGTCAAACATATCTTAGAAGTCTTATTTTTCCCATTCGGTTCAACATTTGTCATGTTTTGAATTTAAACTATTTTTTAAATCCAGGATTACGAATTCTCTGTATAGGTTAAATTTAGCTCAAGTGTTTTTTTTTCGCACCCCTAGAAAAAAAAGGAATACTATGACGGATTTAAAAACAAATGATTTTAGTGCAAATGAACGAAAATCCCTTCAGGAAGGAATTCTGAAACTATCGCAAACATTCTGATTCCTAAATTCTCGAGTAATTTGCGATTCTGCGGGCTGTTATACTTAAAACCAAATATCCATAAAAATGGTGTGAGTGGATTCAAACAAGGTTTCTGTTTTTGATTTGAACTAGGCTGTCTTAATTTTCACCTCCCTTTATCTCTCTCCGCTTCTTTCAGAAATTCTGATAAGTTGCAATCCATTTTGAGTACGTCACGCTCTCAAAAGGGAAGGAGAAGGGGGGAGGGCTTTATGAAATGCGTGTCAAGCAAAGCGTAACATATCGGAATTACGTGACGAAAGGAGGAAGGAAGGTCCCTTACATTGCACGTTTCATACATTAAGAAGTTAAGTTTTTAAATGTATTTCAATATTATTTGAAAATAGATCATTTTACGTGAGTGGAAAATATATGTTTTACTGAATCAGTATCGTTCTAATTTAAGATGTCTCTCTAAATGTCTCTAATTGTCCTGATTTCTTTTTTAAAGAATCAAGTTGTTGATCGAAAGATATTTGTTGGTTTTACATTTTTCGTAACGAAATTTTGTCCAAAAAACCCTCTATATTTTATCGAACAATCTTCTACAACTATAGTTTTGTCCGATAAATCCTTTAGATTTTTTCAGCAACTCTTGACATGTCCGACAAATCATGTACACCCTTGGATTTTTTTGCCGAGATGGGTACCTTATTTTGCTGGATCTCAGTAAAATTCTTGCCGATATTCAGTTAACAAAAGGGAACATTGCCGAGATCTCAGCTAACAAACATAAATTGTGCTGAATCTCGGTAAGTTTTTCGCTGAGATCCAGCAAAATAAAATGCCAAGCAGCTCGGTGGTGTCCATATTGGCAAAATAATCTAAGTGTGTAGATTTGACCAAAAAATCCTCTAGATTTTGCCGACGAATAATCTGGATTTGTCCGAAAAACTGTCTAGATATATCCGATAAAGCCTCTAGATATGTCCAACAAATCCTCTAAATATTACCAATAAATTATCTAGATTTGACCATAAATTGCTCTAGATTTGACCGACAAATCCTCTAGATTTGATGAAAAATTTCTATAGATTTTAGCGACAAAATAATCTCCGAAAAATCATTTAGATTGATCCGAAAAATTTACTTATTCTGGAAAAATGTTCTAGATTTGATCGACAAATGCTCTAGATTCAACCGAAAAATCCTCAACATTTTACCAACAAATTCTCTAGATTTAACCGATAAATTCTCTAGATTTGCTCGACATCCTAGAGATTTTTCCGACATTTCTTGATTTGGTCGACAAATCCTCTAGATTTGACCAACAATTGATCTATATTTGATCGACAAATCCTTTAGATTTGACCGAAAAATTCTTCAGGTTTGAGCGACAAATATTCTGGATTTGTCTGACAAATCTTCTTTATTTATCTGAAAAATCTTTAACATTGATCCGGTAAATCCTCTAGGCTTTACAAATAAATTCTCTAGATATGCTCGACTAATCCTTAAGATTTGACCGGAAAATGCTCTGGATTTATCCGACAAATCCTCTAGATTTGACCAATAATTGCTCTATCTATGTTGGTTTTAACAAATCCTCTAAATTAGACCGTCAAATAGTCTGGATTTGTGGATTTATCCAAAAAATCCTCAAGTTTTCACCAACAATTCCTCTATATTTGACCAACAAATTTTCTAGATTTGATCAAGAAATGCTCTAGATTGGACCGACAAATCCTCTATATTTGACTGATAAGTTAAGTTAAATTTTCTTTATTATGGAGGCTTTCAGTCTGAGGCTGGTTCGCCCCCGGATTTGACTGATAAATCCTTTAAATTCCAGAACGTGTTTGTTTGCCAAATCTTTATATTCATCCTAAAAATCTGCTAAATTTGTCCGAAAATTGCTCTAAATTTGACCAACAAATTATCTAGTATTGACCGATAAATCGTCCAGATTTGATCAACAAATCCTCTAGATTTGCCCGAAAAATCCCCTAGATTTGACCGAAAAATCTTCTAGGCTTGTCCGACAAATCCTTTTAGATTTGTCTGATAGATATACCCAACCAATCCTCTAGATTTACCCGACAAAGCTTCTAGATTTGTCCAACAAATCCTCTTCATTTTACCAACAAATTATCTAGATTTGACCAACAAATGATTGGTTTGATCGAAAAATCCTTAAGATATGAGCGACAAATATTCTGGATTTGTCTTACAAATCTTCTGGATTTATCTGAAAAATCATTATCATTTATCTGGTAATTCCTCTAGACTATACAAACAAATTATCAAGATTTGCTCGGGTAATCCTTAAAATTTTACCAACAAATCCTCTAGATTTGACCAACAAATTGTCAAGATTTGACCAAGAAATACTCTAGATTGGACTGACAAATGCTCTAGATTCGACCGACAAATTCTCTATTTTTGAATGACATATCCTTCAGATTATTCGACAGATATTCATCCGAAAAATTCACTAGATTTGTCCGAAAATTGCTCTAGATTTGACCAACAAATTCTCTAGTATTGACCGATAAATCGTCCAGATTTGATCAACAAATCCTCTAGATTTGCCCGAAAAATCCCCTAGATTTGACCGACAAGTCTTCTAGGCTTGTCCGACAAATGCTTTTTTAATTTGTCTGATAGATATAACCAACCAATCCTCTAGATTTACCCGATAAAGCTTCTAGATTTGTATAACAAATCCTCTACATTTGACCAGCAAATTATCTAGATTTGACCAACAAATGATTGGTTTGATCGGAAAACCCTTAAGATATGAGCGACAAATATTCTGGATTTGTCTTACAAATCTTCTGGATTTATCTGAGAAATCATTATCATTTATCCGGTAACTCCTCTAGACTTTACAAACAAATTATCTAGATTTGCTCGACTAATCCTTAAGATTTGATCGGCAAATGTTCTGGATTTATTCGACAAATCCTCTAGATTTTCTATCTATGTTGGTCTTAACAAATCCTCTAAGTTAGACCGTCAAATAGTATGGATTTGTGTGACACATCCTCTAGATTTATCCGAAAAATCCTCAAAATTTTACCAACAAATCCTCTAGATTTGACCAACAAATTGTCAAGATTTGACCAAGAAATACTCTAGATTGGACTGACAACTGCTCTTGATTTGACCGACAAATCCTCTTTAGTTGACTGACAATTCCTTTAGATTTGACCTACACATGTTCTGGATTTGTTCGACAAATCTTTGTATTCATCCGAAAAATCCGCTAGATTTGTAAGAAAATTGCTCTTGTACTGACCGATAGATTGTCTAGATTTGATCAACAAATCCTCTAGATTTGCCTTTATATTTGATCGACAAATCTTCTAGGCTTGTCCGACAAATCCTTTAGATTTGTCTGATAGATATGCCCGACCAGTCCTCTAGATTTACCTGACACAGCTTCTAGATTTATCCAACAAATCCTCTAAATTTGACCAACAAATTATCTATTGATCGAAAAATCCTTAAGATATAAGCGACAAATATTCTGGATTTGTCTTACAAATCTTCTAGATTTATCTGAACAATCATTATCATTTATCCGGTAACTCCTCTAGACTTTACAAACAAATTATCTAGATTTGCTCGACTAATCCTTAAGATTTGACCGGCAAATGTTCTGGATTTATCCGACAAATCCTCTAGATTTGACCAATAACTGCTCTTTCTATGTTGGTCTTAACAAATCCTCTAAGTTAGACCGTCAAATAGTCTGGA